GGCTAAGTAGCCTCACAGCGTATCGAGAGACTCTATCTCTCGCGAGAGGTTACGGTGTGGGTGGAAAGGATAAAGGGTTTGCGAGTGGATCACAGAAAGGGGCATAAAGCGCGTTTACTGATGTTTGTTCCTCTCTGCCCCCCTCGATCGTCTAGTGTAGCGTCAGAGCGCGGGGGGAAGTTGAATGTAGGAAAAGGAAAGGGAGATTTTGCGTTCCTTAAAGGGGGGCGATCAGCGATCAGGTGCATTTTGGTGGCTAATCCCCCTAAATGTAGGAAAAGGAAAAGATTGGATATTATGCAGTATCCCTATATCCCTGATCTCGATGGCGCGACAAGCACAGTACGTGTAGTACGTGTAGTAGTGTGCACAACAGCGAAGACGTGTCGCGGGGGGAAGGGCGGGGGGAAGGGGGCGATCGCGATGCCGGGGTCGCGATGCGGGCAAGACAGGCTGTCCGGGGGCGGGGATTAGGGGATTAGGGCGGGGGGCCCGTGCCGCGCGACGGCGGGGCGTGACGAGCCCCAGTTCCCTGAGGCCCGTTCCTAACGACGAGCACGGTGTGCTAGCACGCAAGCACCCTGACATTTGGCATGAATGGATTGGTTGAACGGGAGTAAAAGCATTTCCAATAATTTTTCTTATTTATTGGCCTTGAATTGGAGGCCGGTGGCAAAGGCTGTTGTAAACGGCCAATTCACGGTTGCGGAAAGGCAGCCTGCTGCGCATCCATTTCCCGTTATCTGCATGAGCGTGTACTTGAAATCTTGTTACTCCGGGAGGCGGATAAAAATGAAAAAGAACAAAAAGTGCTTCATGTTAGCCTTCTTAGCTCAACCTCATTTACTTAATGTATTAATATATCTGCAGCAGTCACATACAGTACCCTTGGTAGCGTTCGGTACGGTACCCTTGAACGGTACCTCGAAGGTACTCGCGCGAGCAGTAGACACCGCTCCACTCCAACAAGGGCTATTAGAGAAAAAAGTCTCCTGTTTTTTCTGCTTGTTGCAATTCCCTCAAACGCCCCCCGCCCTCCGTCATCGCTGTCGGCGTCATCGCTGTCGCCGCCATCACGCCCTCTTGGCCCTTGCGCGTCGTCACGCGGTCACCCGCCACGCGCCCCGTGCCCCACCGCTCGCGCCGCAGCCGTCCGTTGCCGCCCAGCCAGCGCCTGCTTCTTCCGCCGAACGAATTCTTTCTTCCCCGAACAATTCTTTCTTCCCGGAACGAATTCT